TGTGTGATGGTGTCGGGGACGACCAAATGTAAGGTTAGATGTTGTAATGATGATACTTTTATACTTATTCTCTTTTTATTTTTTTTTAATAGTCGTCTCTTTAAGCCTGTGTAATGAACCGTGGGTCTTCCTTTATCCAAGGATGAAAGAATCTAGGGAAGAAATGAACGAAGCACCTAATGGTTAATCGAATATTAGTGTCAAGCAACTTTATTTCTAAAGAATGCACTTTTTTTATATTAAATAAACAAATCCGTAATTTTATTGAACAATTTGAATTGGCGAGTAATTCACTAAATATAAATTTATCTAGCGTACTTTTAATCATAAGTTACGCTGTTTGCGAGGATGATCCGGCAGACTGTGTGATGGTGTCAGGGACGACCAAATGTAAGGTTAGATGTTATAATGATGACATTTAGACAAAGTTTTGGATGTTCATAGATAAATTTTATGTGGATCTAATTTTTACATTTTATCCAACTATAATATTATAATTAATTTAATTTCTATATAAAGGGCTCGAAAATCTGTTGATAATAATGCAATAATGACAATGCATAAAACAAAGATAAATTTATATGCTATATATTTAATATTTTATATAGGTAGTTAAAGAAGCAAGTCCATTTAACAGGACAAGGTAATTTATGTTTCTTGATTAAGTTCTGAATTGAAATGTTTCATTAAATTTTGTAATATCTTTTTTCAGATCTTTAGGCGAATCCACAATTTTCGTACTAGATGGGAAAACTAATGAATGCGTTTATTGTGAAACCGTGGAGCTCTATCCGCGTAAACGTCGCATGGTTATGGATATGGAAGTATTCAATAAGCATGCCGATGTTCAAATACGTAATGATCTTATCGATTGTCAGATTGATATTTGTTCAGTAAATGTAAATAAATTGGTAAATGAAAATTTTACTGTCATGACGGATTGATTATCCTGGATTTGTCTTAGGTACCAGCTTTATTTACCGAGAATTTTTGATTATTAAGATATTCGTGTTTATGGCATTTTGACATCTGATTTATTGGGGAAGCCCATTTATTGCCATCTTGCTACCCACTGCAATAGTGTGATTAGTGATTGAAACCATCCAGGCGAATGTCACTCGGGTCACACAGCGGTTGAACCATGGATCAACTGGCCATCATCTGGGTGCTCAACTGGTGGGTAACCATGGTTATCAGTGGTTGGTCAAGTAGTATTAGGGATTCAAAGTTACTACCTAAATGATGATCAGCAAAAAATCAGAATATAGGGATTTATCATACGCTTCTTCCGTTTATTTTTTCTTAGATTTCTTATATCTCCAATTGGTTTAAATTTAACTCGATGATTTTATCTTGTTTTTGAAGTTCAGATGACTCGGAATAGAGCATTTGTTAATTATTATCATACAATATTATTGTATTAAAGTTATTTAAATTGCATTTGTACACACTCCCATAATTGCTATAAATTTGTTTTATTGCCTATTTCACTAGCATTTAAAATGTATTTTATCGTTCTCTATACAAAAATAATATAAATTGATTAGGGTCAGGGTACGGCATATCGCTATCATGTGGTATAGAGCTATTATATAATTGGCCAATTAGAATTAAAGCCTACTATTGCTAACGCTAATTACAATAATGTCGGATGTTTGAGTAATCGTAATCGTTATATAATAAAAACTATTACTAGCGGAGATATACAGGGGTTCCTATACCAACCCTAAAATTGATTGGTTGATTATCACGGGTAATCACTGTAGATCAACCAATCAAAGCATGAGTTTTTGTTTACACGATCATTTTTATAGGAAATTGATTGATATTTCCACACCCTTTTTTGATATTGCCACACTCCTGCTAATAAAAATCAATATAAATTATTAGGGTTTTGGTTAGTTTAGAGTATGCAGAGGTGTGGCAATATCAAAAAAGGGTGTGGAAATATCAATTCTTTAAATTTTATATAATTTTAGATATAACCAGTCTATACTGTGTTGCTTTACGTAGAAAATTATTTTACATGTATGTATATATAATTTATTTTTATATATTATATACAGTGTGGGACAAAAAAAAAACCAGAATTAAAAATTGTACAACTATGAGAAAATGATCGTATAAAATTATAAAATTTATATAATTAGTAGACAAATATTAGATGATTTATTAACTAAAAAATTAAAATGATATTTGTTCACCATTATTTTCGATTACTAATTCACATTGTCATCTCATTAATCCTAAAAAACTAACTAAAACTGAATTTGGAATTTTATTCCATTTCTCTTTCATATATTGTTCTAATTCTTGCAAATTATATGACATATGTTTTTTCATATTATTTTTTACAATGCATTATAAATTTTCAATAGGGTTTAAATCAGAACTGTTTGAGGTCAGTCCATAAGTTCAGAAACATTTTTTAAAAAAATGCTTTAGCAAATTTGTTTGTGTTTCGGATCATTATCTTATTGCCAACGTTAATGTTTATCAAACATTTTTTTTATTTTAGAAAGATGTTAGCACACAATTTCAACATAAAATTTCTTGTTCATAATTCATATAAAACAAAATAAGTTTTATTTTCTTTTTACTAAAAAACTACCTCACACTTTAATTTTAGTATGATCTTTAGAAATTGGATGAATTGATCATTGATCTTTCTTATATCAATGCTTGAATATATTTCAAAAGAATTGAAAGGCTGATTCATCTGTAAAAAAAATTCTGTTCCAATTATCTTTAAGGTGAACCTGGATCCATTCTACTCTCTTTCTTTTTTGATCATTAGTCAGCATGGGGGTCTTTCATGGAACATTTTTACATATCCCATTGTAGCCAAATGCCTTCCAATTGTTTGATATAATATGTCAATGCTTATACTTGATAAGTATGTTGCTAAAGTTCTTGTTGAAATAGACAAATCCTTTTTAATTTACTTCTCAATTGCCTGAGAGGCAACATTACTAATTTTTTTGACCAACCTTTTCCTCTAGCATGATCAACATTTTCACACACTTTTACCTTTTTTATATTGTCATAAATAGTAGTCCGGGGAATACCGGTTCGAGCATAAAGCTCTTTTGCACTATGTACACCTTTGTTCCACAGGTATACTAAAGTTTCTCGCTGGCTCTTTTTTTAGGTACTGTCATACGGCTATTATTTGGGAGTACAAAGTTACAACGCACTTGCGAATTACAAATCGCTAAAAGTAAGTATTCAACATTGCTTCTGATTTGCATTTTGCAGATCTTAGATCTGATTTAAATCAAACGAATTTCACATGATTTTAAGTCACGTGCAATTTTCCGGTTTTTTTGTCCCACACTGTATATATACTGTAAATGATATACTGTATATCATGATTGGGTTTGACCAGACCAATTTGATTATTTGGAATCAGTGTCTCAAAACTAGCAATGGCCAATGCTGGATACGCATTGGTGTGATTTAGTGTTATTGTTTAGCATCAGTTTAATATTAATTAGAAAATTTCTATTTGTGCACAGGGTGTTATATACACAGGTATTAATTGATTTGACAAATCCACATAAAATAAAAAAATTAAATCAGATTTAAGGTTAGCTTTAGGGTTAAAAGAGATTAGAGTTTATACTAAAAGTTTGCGCGGAATGTTTTTCGATATAACCTCAAAAGCTGTTTTATTATTAGAATTTTGAGATATGAATATACTCATGTTTTATACGCTAGTGTTCAAATAGAAATTGCCAAAAACCTATTTTAATTACTGTATATTCTTATATATTAATTCTATTGTAAATATATGTATTTTAAAATTTTAAGATTCTGTAAAGCATATGTTGTAAGTAGAAACAAATTTTAAATAGGTTTGAAAATTTCTTAATAAATTATAATTTATAGTAAAATTTATCTATACAAACCTACACCCTAACAAAATCCTAAGACATTCCAAATCTCACTTCCCACTTATAACATATAAAGTATATTCAATATTCGATTACAAGTATTAATCTTGATTTCTTTTGCGTAAATAGACGATATACCGAGATTCTCTACGCCAATATTCTTCCACTAATGAATTGCGAACTAGCACCTTGCACTTATTCTCATAGCGTTTCCACAAACTTTTCGGTAGGTATAAATATGTTGGGAGTTTCGATTGATAATCTTCTCCCCAATGTTGCTTCATGATAGCTTCTGTTTCTTCTTTATACTCCTCATCACATATGTCACCAATGATAACCACACCTCCAGGCTTGGTAATACGTAACATCTCATCAACAGATAGAAGCGCATTTTCTTTTGACATGTACTGGAAAACGCTATGTGAAATAGTGACATCGTATTGTTCAGACTTTATAGTCAACAACTCGTCTGGAATAAAACCCACCAAAAAATTTTCCTTTTTTGTGTTTATTGCCACATGTTGTAGTAAATGTTGGATGGCCCTCTCTGACCCATCCACTCCTCCAATAGTAATATTTTTAAAATTCTTTTGTATGGGATTAAGCACTGCCCCACAACCGCATCCTGCTTCAAAAATACTGCTACCTTCTTTGACGTATCCTTGTACGATATCCAATATGTATTTTTCCCATATCGCTGAGTCTTCGATGTCAAACCACCCTGCCAATTGATGTAAAGTGGTATATTCACTATCAAAAAGCTTGCTAAACACAGAAATCCAAGCATGGTCCTCATGCCTATCAATTGTAGCGTTTAATGTTTGAGATGTTGACATTTTTTTAGAATTACTGCTTTTTCAAATTCATGGATATATATTATGACGGTCAATAAATTGTTATACAACATTATTTGTAGCCTAAATTTTATAAAAAAAGGAAATTCATAAACATCATTGTTAATCACCATACGATAAGCTGTTTTCAAGTTCATATAAGCAGTTGTACATGAAACCCAAAATAGCTATGGTTAAGAGTATTTTACCCAATTATGTATTCAGCTCTTTAAATTTTGGTGCAAAAATAAAAACGTGACTTCAACTGAAGGGATGTTTTGATAACCAATGGCAAAGCATAGTAAGTTAAACAGGAACCAGAATATTCTATTTCCCAAAGATTTATCAATGGTAGGGGTGGGTAATTTGATTTACACATACGTATATATAAGATTTATTCAATTTTTTCTTGAATAAAGTTATTTGTATTTTACTAATATTTTTAAATATAAAAGCATTTTCTGTTAACTCATCTTATGTCTTAATTATTTAGCATTCATACCAACTATTTGTGCATTTTTTTTAAGGCAATTTCTATTTGTACACTACGTTAGGGTGTTCATTAATCAAAACATAGTTAGGGTCATATATGATAATCATTAAGTTCGGATTTTTTACACATGAATTTACATACTAAGGCCACAAATTTAATATCTTGGTTTTCATAACATGAAACTTATGAACAGACCCGGCCGTCCGGCCGGCTTTTTTAAAAAAAATTTCATATATAAATTTTATAAAAGTTTTGTAAAAAAAAATTTTAAGCCCACCCGGTTATTACAGCTGGTACCATTATTCCTGGGACACCTTATGAAAAATTAACCGAGAAGATTACTGGAAGGCCACTGGAAATAAATCAATAGTGTCACTGGAACTTAAAATCCCAGTGATATTATTGATTTACTTCCGGTGGCCTTCCAAGTGACAACACTGCTTTTAGGCATGGTTGTAGCAAATAATAGTGAAAGATAATGTTTGGGTTTTTTTCTTTATATATTGATGATGATCAATAATTTAAATAGCTTACATAAACGTATAGAAGTAGGTGTATGGACAGACGACCAAGGAAAAGAAATAAAAAATTTCGAGGAGACGGTTGAAAAAGTACTGAGTGGATAATGAGTGCTCAAATATCCTCAGAAAATTTGAAACTGAAGAGATTTTGAGAAAACGTGTAAGTTGTTTTCAAGAAATAGAGTTATCTTACAATTAAAATGATTATTTCTTGAAACGATGAAATACATAATAGTGAAGGGCTACACCTCCATAACATTTAATTATGCCATGGGCTCGTTAGTAGTAGCTATTTATATGTAATAAATACTATGCATGGAAACACTGGATCACATATTTTTCGGCCAAATAAGTGACTTCATCTTATTTCTTTGAATATCTCGAAATTCTTAGTAAAGAATTAATTGCATATAAAGAAAGTAGAACCAACATGGGTAATATACGCAACAAACAACTTCGAGTTGTTAAAGCGTGATGTGCATAAGGTTAGTAGTCTACTCGAAATTCTCATATCTTCAAAGACTATTATAGTATTATATTATACTAGCACATATTTTAGCTCGCCTCATCAAATAATGATGACGAAAAGCCCATGTAGGAAGAGATAGAGGCAGGATTAAAAGAAATAAACATGGAGGATTTAGGGTATGATCACCCCCTTTGTTCTGGGATATTAGATGATTGCTCGGTGCCTTATTTATTAATACTTCTTTTTTAGATATGATCTATTACTAATATATCAGATAAATCTCGCGAAATCTTCACGGCATCGGGAAAGAAGTTTTTAATATCTACTAGCGAGATATTACAGCTGTTTTCATTATTTTTGGGACATCTGGTGCAAAAGTTGACCGAATAATTGTTTGACTGATTCGAAAACTTTTGATGTCGGTAATGATCGATTATGTAATAGTGTATATATCTTTGCTAAATGACAATAATTATGAGTGCTGTACAGGGAAAACTTGTAAGTATCGAACTTTACAATAAGAACACAAGCGATAATTAGTGTTGAGTATCGTCAAGGAAACCTGTCATAGGCTTTCAATTATATTTGTATCAGTCGCAATCAGTATAATTTGTTAAAGATTGTGTCCGATACAAAATATAATTGAGAACCCAAGTTCTTTAGTCATCAAATCCATTGTTTCAATACTCTCATATAATTCTTGCTAGTTTTCTTTTTGACTTATATTTTATAATAATCATTATACATTAAAACTTTTAAATAAAATATTTATTCTGTTTCGACAAAGATTCTGAGAGTTCAAATTTTTGATACCTAGGCCTAGCTTTTATGGACTTACTTGTGAGTACTATGGGTAGACCAGGCCCATGCAGAGGCTTAAATTTAATAAACTAGTTATTAATAAAAATAAAAATGAAAAAATCTTTTATATAAAATTTTGTTAGTGTAATGATCAAAATTTTTCCAATGTTTTTTTTTAACTCAAATGTTGCATATTTTATTGTTCTACTTTCATTATTATTACATTTTTTATTTTTTTTTAGAATTTTTCTTTTTTAAATGAATTAGTAATAATTGAACTTGTTTATCAAGTTTTTTTTCTAAAAATATAATATATATATTTGGATTCATTGTTAATATAACAAGAATTGTGATATATATGATCACAAAATAAAACTATAACTGTATTTGTATTTATAAGAAAAAGAATTAAAAAATAATTAAATATATCAAAATGTTTATATCAAAAATTAAAATCTAAAAAAAGATAATATAATTATGTTTCTAGTATTTTTATTACTGTTAATAAAATTATATTATAGTTAGGGTTTTCTTTTTATTTTTTTAAAATAATAGATTTGGATAACCTGTAATTAATATTAGTAAAATGTTGCAATAATAAAAGAATTTCAACTCTCCCTGATGATCACTTGTACCAAATTTCATACCAATAAAAATGGAAAACTTATTGGAGAAAGTAGAAAAGACTACTATATAAATAATGGTTTTTATAAAGGTCAAAGTGGTTCTTCTATACTGGACTCCTTTATATATTTAGTAAGCAAACTAAAAGCATGCATATACAAGATAACTGGTAGGAGGTGTCCTTGTATAACAAATTTTAGTAGAAGTTTCAGCTTTTGTTAATGAAGTTAAAATAGTAGGCCTTATAGGAGAACAATAAGCAAGTTTTCAACACATTCACTAGAAATTCAAGGATACCTGCTAACCGAATACCACTATCATATTCTTTACTTGGTTTTGACAGAAGTTTTTACAAGAAGTGGGAATTTAGCGTACCTCTTATAAAAGATCTACAGAAATCATCTATTTTAAGAATAGAAGAATTAATTCTTTTCTGGAACTAGGAGTAACTCTAAATAGAGTGAAAAGATTGGCTGTAGAACTGACAAGGAAAAAATTAAATACTGACATCTCTATCATCGAATGACATATATATATAATATAGACCTATTTCTAGAATAGAGACTAGAAATAACAGTACTATATAATTTTTACAATTTGCTCTGGTTGGGGCTTCGGTCCTCTTTTTGTTTTTTCTTTTTCTTACTATTACATGTTTGTTTTACTGTTTTGTTTTGATTTGAGTTTTATTTGTTTACTTTTGGTTTTTTTAGTCATGTTCTTATTTGTATTCAATTTTATAATATCTCTCTTTTTTCAGCCCTTTGAGAAGAAGAAAGAATTTAAAGAAAGGATTGAAGACAGTTAATGTTTGTCTCAGAAGAGAGAAATCCTTTTTGGTATAGCTTTAAGTAGCCAGATAAGCAGTCTACCTCTAACTGGGGTAGTGCAGCAGATTGCACTTAGGTACCAATAAGGTGACCAAGTGATGCTAAACTTAGTTATTAGAAAAATTCTTTGTAGTTATTGTATATAGTTGCAAGAATCTTAATAAAGTACTAGCATGGCTGCTTAAGAGCAAAAAATAAAAATAAAAAAAAAAAATTGTAATAAAACATATATATATAAATTTTAAAAAATATATTGCAAAAAAAAATATATAGTTTTCTTTACTAATATTATAATAAGTATAAAATATAAGTTTAGGGTCACATAGCCTAATAGTTTAAACACTCTGTCCTCTACAGACAAGGTTAACAGTTCAATTTCAGCTAGAGGCAAAAAACTCCATAATCTATAAAAACATATAAATGTATATAAAGCTTTGTAAATAAAAGATTAATATATAAGAAAGTTTTTAAAAAAAAGTTTTCTAATATAAAAAGTTAATACTTGATGCAAAAAAAGCAGTAAACATATCAGAAATGAAGAGAAGGTGCACTAGTATATGATACAATAAATATAAAAAGAAACTATAAGAAAAAAATGAACTTACTAAAATTTGAATACTTTTGGTACTAAACTAGTTTTAGTAAATACAGAATATATTAAATTAAATAAAATCTAAAAGATAATCTTGGTACTATACTTAGTAAGTTTGTATCAAGAGTAAATTCAAAGAATTATAGATATTTAGTAATATTTAATATTAATATAAATAGTAATTAGATAACTCTAATCTGTTCTGTTATAATAATAATAATGTAATTTATTGCATATATATGCATAAGTGTTAAAAATCAAAAAGTTTAAATAGAAAACTCAGAAGCTGGTCTCAGATATAGTATTTAGTAAATAACTTATAGGTGAAATTTTTAATTAGATAATAACTAAAGTTATATATATGGCTAGTTGTAATTTTGTTGATAGATATTGGTTTTTTTTTTTTTTTGTGTGTTAAGGTAACCTCTTTGGTCTTTTGACTTTTATTAATCACTTATCAGTATTGTAATTCAATAAATTACTACAGAAGAGCATACAATTGGCTATATGTATAACTTTACTATATTACCTAATTAAGGAGTCTGCCTAAAGGTTCTTCACTAATTGCCATACCTAACATCTCTGCTTAGGTGTTCCACTTTAAACTCTCTGAACCTGTAACCTGTATTAACTTACTGGGTCATATTCAGATATCCAGATCATTATCTTAATC